GCACATTTTTACACTCATATATATTATATAGTAAATTAGTGAATTGTGTATAATTTAAGCATATGTAGTCGAATATAATTTGTATATTATAATTCAATTTATGCATAAATTTATAATATATATGATTTATAAAAATAAAATATTATCTTTTTAATCTATTTATAAATGCATTTTTAGTTTTGTTTTTATGTAAGATGGTTTGGGCATGTGCGTAGGAGAGACGTCGAAACATTAGAATTAAGAACGCAAATCAAAAGTAGGAGGGTAGACCTAAGAAAACCTGGAAAGAAATACTAAAATAAAATTTTTAAATACTTAAGTTTGACTGTGGATGTGTATTTTGATCAAGTAGGATGGCGAGTCGGCGACGTGCGATCTATATAGCCGACCCTACTTAGTGAGATTTTAACGGCTTGTTGTTGTTGTCGTTGTTGTATAAGTATTTGATATATCTAACTAAAATATGAACAATGAGTAAAAATAAGTTTTTAAATTTTTTATTTGAAATTTATTTTTTAATTATTTTATTAATATAATTTAATCACAATTTATAGTTTATATTACATATTTTTTATTATTATTTGTTAATTTTATTTATTTGAGAAAATGATTCCCAAACATCTGAAAATGGGAAAAACATTGCATTTGCTATGGAATAACTAATCCCATAGAGATGAGTTTTGCAATTACCATTGGAATGGTCATTTATTTTAAAAAAATCCCCCTATATATTAATCCAGAACGTGTTGAGCCTACGTGACTGCTTCTGGTGCTTCAGAATCCTATGTGGCAAACTTACATGCTTCGTTATTAGGCTTGAGGAAATTTTAATTTAATTCCAAACAAAAAATAATTAGGTTCGGATTACCATAAATATGTTGATTATTTATGGCCATGTTACATGTATTAGTTGCATTTTAATATCATTCCTTATTATAACTATTGAATTGTATATATATTTTATAAGTTAATAACTTTTGTATTTTTTTAACATCCATATTGTATGTATAAAAATAATAATTTACATTTATCTTTATAACAATAATAAAATTATTTTTAATATTAATTAAAAAAATAAAATTATTTATCAACTAATATATTTATATTTCAAGTAGTTATATGATATATGTTATAAAAACTAATATAATATAACACAGGTAAGTCATAAATAACACATATCATTCTAAAATATATAGTAATATATTTTTTTTTTTTTGTAAAAAAGTAAACTAAATTTAATATAGTTTTCTTATTAATTTTAAAATTTAAGAATAATTTTTTAATAAGCACCCGTATAATATACGGGTATTGTACTAGTATACCAATTATGATATAAAAAATGAGTAAAGAAATGGACATTCTAAGGTTATCGTGTCATTCCTTGTACAAATCATGCAATTATAATTAACTATTACTTGAGTCAATCTACTACTTACCGCGGGGGTGAAACCGTGGCTCCATCATGATGTTCTCGGGATTGCCCATCCTCGAAATATCGTAGTATAAGGCGATAGCCTCCTTCTTTGTACCGAAAAAAAATCTACTACTTACCGCACTATGTAGCTTTCTCCACTGTACACTTGTTGAATTCTTTATTCAAGTTTATTGTAATCTCTCACTTTAGATTCATTCACACTCTATTTACAAAAATCAAAATGGTGCTTTTTCACCAAATTAAAGAATCATTGTTTGGTATCATGATAGAAGATGTCATTGTTGCATTTTTCATATTTTTTAATTAATATATATATATATATGCATATTTTTATATTTAAATTTTATATTTTAAATAATAATATAAATAAAATACATGACATTTCACACTATCACTAATTAATTTTGTTCAAACTATATGAATTTCGCGATCGACCTGTCTAACTGTTAGGTAGATTCACATCATATATAGCGCATAATTTGCGACTGAGCGTGTGATCTATTAAATTTATAGTATGTGTTTTGATCTCCTTTCCTAGCAATGAGTATTGCTCAAGATTTTTGCTAAGACCTAAGAATTATATGAATCTTTAGGTTTTGAAAAATCAGAGCTTAATAGGAACCGATCACAAAGTAATTAGTTAGCTGCCGGAAAAAACCAAAATGTTATATATACAATGAAATATTATAAATCTTACATTGCTTAAATTAAATGTGATGTCCCCACATTGCTTAACTGACCAATCATGTACACCATGAAAAGATTTAAATCTTTGAGTGATGCGCTGGTTGTACAGTCCCAGGGCCCGAATGTCTGAGGATGATTGGGTTGGATTGGATATGATTTGACTGGATATAAAGAGAGTGCTCGTGTACAAATTAATCCAGTCAAAATGAGTTTTTTTAATAATAAATTAATTTTTAAAAATTTATTGTGATTATTTGTTAATGGAATTTCGAGTTTATATTAAAATAATATTCAAAATAAAATAATTAAAGCTGATTGGATGTAAAAGAAGTATAAGAGATTTGATGTGAAGTGATGGTTGATTAAAATTATGTGAGTTGATGTAGTAAATTGAAACTGATGTGATTGTAAGAATGATTGATTTGTATTCTTTACTTATATGAATAATATTAAGAGAAGTTGAGTTAAAATTGAGTTATATTTTGAGTATATATTAAATGCGAGTGAAATATTTTATAAACAAGCACCTCGAAAATGTTATGATTTTGTTTAGATTTTTTTGGTTTGGTGTGGTTAATATTTGAAAAAAGTTGTAAGGTTAATTGCTAGTGGAACTTTGAATTTATATTAAAATAAAATAGTTAAAAGTCAATTTGATGTAAAAGTATGAGAGTAGTGATGTGAAGTGATGGTTATTAGTTAAAATTATGTGATGTGAAGTGATGATTAGTTAAAATTATGTGAAAAGATGAATAATGCGTTAAAATTAATGTAATGTGTAAGAATGATTGAGTGATATTATTTAATTATATTAATAATATTGAAGATAATAGTTTTGAGTTAAAATTAAAATGACTATGTTTGGTACAACTAGCTGATAGCTTATCAGTAATTTTTGAGCTTAGAACTTATAGTTGACTTGTAGGTGAAAAACTAGGTTATATGATAAAAATGTTTGGTACAATTAGCAGATAAACTAGGTGAATAAAAATTTCAACGAGATTATTTGAAAAGCTAACCAAAGAAGCTCATGAGATAAGCTGGAGCTTTTTCTGTCCTACCAAACGAAGTGTATATAAATACAAAAAGCTAATAAACTAACCAAATAAACTATAAGCTAGCTTATTGGTCTGTCAAACATCACCTAAGATTATAGTTACAAAAAAAAAAAAAAAAGTTATTTGGTTAAAAGTGATTGTATTTTTTTTCTTTTAAAGAAAATATATCCAAGCATCCCCTCATCAAAAGCTCATTTTAGATTAAACATCTAATCACAAAGTTGCAACAAATATGATATGGTTCAACTTAGCTAGGCTGTTAAATAATCATATATTATATATTTTTTTTTTTCAATAAGACATATAAATCAAAATTATGATATTTCAACTATGTATTTGTAAAGAAAGTATGACTTATAAATTAGTTACATTAACTTAATTTCGTATTATCAATCATTAGAGGAAAAATCAATTAAGATAAGGTAGATTGGCCATAATATATACTACTAATACATCAAGATTGTAGCAATCCCATCCATGCCTGTCAATTCGATTGACTTTAAAATAAAAATAAATAAATAAATAATAATAATAATAATAATAATAATAATAATAATAATAATAATAATAATAATAATAATAATAATATAAATGGTCCCAGAGATCGAGAAAGAGATATAAATTCATCAGGGTGTAAATTTGGACCAGCACTTGCTGATAAATTAGTTGTCTGTCGCAGTTAAATTTTTATTGTTCATGATGTACAGTGATATGAAAGGCACATGAAAAAGTGGTCCCATATATCAAATTAAAATCATCAAATTATCATCAACATGCATGGTTCCGTACGACTGTCTTGTTGATCCTTTTCTTGTATACATACACATACATTCGATACTACATATAATGGAATCAAATGGACCCCTATTTATTTATTCAATCTATCTCTAATTTGGATAAATGATATTGTTCTCCAAATATAATATTGTTACACATATGCCAAATCATTTTACACAATGGTCCACTATCGACAAAAAATGTACACTGGGGTAGTACCGGTTCGATAACCGAACCGATATAAACTTGCCGATATCTGATTGATATTCTCGGTAATACTAAAATGCGTAATCGAAACCGAATCGACTTATAGTAGGAAACCATGTTTTTCGGTCAGTTCAATTTCGGTTTTGTACCAGAAAAAAAAAAAAATGAAAAATGAAAAACATCATGCCCAAGCTTGTAAAATATCAAGCTTCAGTTAAACCTTTGATCAACTAATTAACAAATGAAGACACCTCATAACTGTTTTATTTCATCTCTCCAAAGTTCATCCACCAAGAAATTAATAACCTAATGCCAAATAATCAACATACGGTTTGAAAAGCTTACGTCGGAAAATTTAGAAAACAAAAATATGCACTGACCATTTTTAATTTAGAAAAAGAAAATGCACTGTCCCAAATGCATGTTATTGATGAACCGTATGAGTGCGAAATCGTTACCGAACCGAAAGTAATTCGGTAATCAATAACCCGTTGCCGTTACATGTGAATCGGTATTGTTCGATTTATTTTCTCGTCGATTCGGTTCTGTTTGCAATTTTTGGTAGAACAATACCAACCCCAATTTACACCATTATTATCCCATCATGCTCACAAAGTCAAGGTTAATATCGCACGTTAATGGTTAACGAGACCATTATAATGGGCCTATGAAGCCCTGTACTTGTGTACAGTGATTTAACTAAAATAGGCCTTCTCTTGACACATTAGGACTTTTTTGCTTTGATTAATTAAAATTTTGACTATTTCTAATAAACTGTCACACTATATACATTGCAGGCGGCGCACGTTATCCCTCATTACCGAATCAACTAACTGATGGCCTCCGGCAGCGCCCCTGGACCGCGGCAGAAGTTGTACGATTTGGAGGTCACAGTAATCTCTGCCAAGCACCTGAAGAACGTCAATTGGAGGAAGGGCGATCTCAAGCCGTATGCCGTCCTGTGGATCGATCCCGACCGGCGTCAGGTCACAAAGGCCGACGATTCGGGCTCTACCCGGCCCGTATGGAACGAGCGGTTCGTCCTGCCGCTTAGCGTCCCGCCCAGTGACTCCTCCCTCACCCTCGAGATCCTCCACTCTAGACCTTCGTTTACCTCCGAGTTTCTGGTTGGCACCCTCCGAGTCGAGCTCCGGGATCTCCTTGTCGAATCGGACGGTTCTCCGGTTCGGCTCAGGTCTTTCGAGCTCCGCCGACCCTCTGGCCGCCCCCAGGGCAAGATCCGCCTCAAACTCTGCCTGATCGAGCGCCCTGCAGAGAATTACCAAACTGCCCCTCCTTCCGGCTATTATTACTCCTCCGCTCTCCCTTCGCCCTACCGAGCATACTCTACTTCGTATTCCTCAGTCCCTCCGCCGACATCTTACTCTCCGCCGCTAACACAGCCATACTATTCATACTCCGATCAGTCCTCGAGATACTATTCGTCTTATTATTCTCACCCTCCGCCACCTCCTAGGCCCTTTTTCGAGCGACAGTCGAGCTTAGGGCCCGACCCAAGTGCTCCAGTGGAATACACACCTTATGACTACCACAAGCCAGGTGCAAGCAAGCCTGGAATTGGAGTGGGGACGGGCTTGGCGGTGGGAGGTGTGTCGGGAGCCCTCGGAGGCCTGGTTTTGGAGGAAGGGGTGAAGTATGAGGAAGAGAAGAATGAATTGGCTTCAACCACCGCAAGGGATGACCGTTATGCTGAGTATCGAATGTAAGAAGTTTTATCTTGCCCTGCTATAGATTATGACTGTGTGGTGAAGTCTGTAAATACAGTTTCTTGATTTGAGGGTGAACTCCAGTTACTGGAAAATTTGTTGATTTACTTATTTTTGTAATTGAGTGTGAAGTTATATGTGGACTAATAGATGTAAACTTGACTTCTATGTTGCAAAAGACGATGCCAACGTTTACTTGACCATGTTTCGTATCTGAAAGCTTGTTAATTTGTTGCAAATGTTTTGGTCTACAGAAATATTTGATCCCAATTTCGTATGATCGTCATGTCCATTTGAACTTTTGGAGCTCTTTGTCGATAGAACTACTAGGCAACAGGTTTTGTTTGAGTAATATGTGTGGTAAATCCTTTCGTTTTAATTGCCTCTTACTCGTCATAATAGTAACTTAGGGTGTATGGCTTATGAGCTAGAAGGTGTGCTGCGTCATATTCATTTTGTGACCTTGCATATGGGTGACCATGTGTTTCTTTAGTTTTGCATTGGGAATGCCATTAACTATCTTATAGTTTTCCATAAACCATTAGAAAGGTCAACTAGGCCAAAGTCATGGCGCCTATAGACTGTCTAGCCTGAATATTTTAGAACATTGCGTAAGGTACCTCTCTCTATATTCATTTTGTGGCTTGGTTGACAATGAGACATGTCTTGTTTGCAGTTATATGTTGTTTTTTGGAATTTAGAGCAAGTGATTTTAGTCTAGTCAAAGTTGTTTTGTTTTCTTAAAAGGTCATTTGAAATAGCAAGAACAGCTACATGATGTTGGTTATGATCTCTCTCTAATTTTCTCTGTAACTTGTTTTACAGTGAGGATCTACTTTTTTGTTTGACTCGGAGATATAAGGGTGTTTATGAATTTGTGCTTTTCATCTGTTTGTTGTTAAAACCTTTTCTCGGGCGATTTTGACGAAAAATAAGTAAGAGTATCGTAGTTTACATTATGAATGTTCTGCCTCTTGTATGAATGAGGAAGTATGTTTGAAGTGCTCTTTTCAACCAAAGCATACCTTTTTCTCATAGGAGCAATCTGGGACGGTACTTCTCTTCTTTTCTACTAGAGTGCAACATGACCATACTTTTTGCCAAGTCGTTTTGAACTATCATGAATTTGAACACACGTCACAAACCATATTTTTACTTGTGTATAAATGGCTGCCCGAGCATCCACAATGCTTTGGGTTCAATAAAAAAAAATTAAATGCCACCTCAAAAATAGACTCAGTCTAAAAAAATATGTTCTCCAATGCAAGTGTAAGTGGACTAGGTCTTGCTGACGTGGCAGCAAGAAAAAGAGACTCGGTCTAACCTTAAGTCCATTTTAGACCCAAGTAGAGACCTAGTCTCCTTGCATTGGAGTAGATTTTGTTAATTTTATATATTTTTGTCCATGTCATCCAAGACTTAGGTTCATTTACATTCCACAAAGACAAAACTAGACCTAAAGCATTGCAGATGTTCTTACAATCCCCTTGGTCTCCCCTTGGTCTGTGACTATTATAAACAAAAAGCACAAGTGTGTCTGAATTTTCAGGATTCCGTTGTATTTCATCAAAGGACACAGTTATATTAGTTGAAACACTGTCTGAATCTCGATTTTAAAAACTAGTAATAATGAACAATGTAAGATTTTCAACTTGATGGCAACTTGTATCCTAATTTGTGGGCTGCTAATCTCGTTATGGATTCTCATCTTGTCTCTAGGGTGGTTTACATTCTTTCAGTTTTTTTAGCTCAGCTTCTCCTTAATCCTCAGTGAGGTTCTTAAGTTTTGTTGTAAGAACAAAGTACAGATGATGTTTTATGAAGTAGGGTTCCCTTGGTGAGTTGGATTGAAGCACATTTTCTAGTTCTTGTTTATTCTGTTGATGATTGACACGTGTATAAATGTGATGTCATCATGGACACATGTCAATCATAAATGAATTGACACATGTCATCATGGACACGCATATAAGCTGCTGCTATTTTTTTGGTCACATATGTAAGGTGGGGAGATGCTACGGTCCCGTTACGGAACCATTTCGTCGGGATTTGTAACTGTTAGATCAACTATCCTCCGACGGAATGATTTCGGGACCGTAGCATTTCCCTGTAATGTAATGTGTAACAATACAACACTTCAAAATCCGATCAATGTAGTATAGTTTATGCCCCTCCAAGTTCATGAATTTCAACATCTAAACTCATTGCTCGCCAAATTCGTTTTAAAAATAAAATGATTGAAAACTTGAAAATTATATCTGGGCTCCAACTATATGTTCAAATCTATTAATATATAATAAGGATTAACTTAATTAATTTTTAGAAACTAATTTCCGCCAAAAACATTAATTACTGCCTATAAATAGTAATTTAACATAATTTCATAAAATCACTATTAATTACTGCCCGATTAAATATGGAATGAAATAATAATCCCTTTTTCACGCCATTATTAACAGCAATTGCACATAATTTGGAACATACATAGTGATTTTTTGGATTTCGGTACAATAATGAAAATCCTTTTTTCACGCCATTAAATATTGAATAACAACAATTGCACATATTTTGGAACGTACATAGCCATTTTTGTGGCTCCAACATCCTCATTTTGAATCAATGGCTGCTGCTAATACCATCTTTTGTGTCCAATCTGAAACAAAAGCATTTTATTTTGTCGGATCTGAAATAGATCCGAAATATAAAAGCTTTTCTTACTCCGATTAAAAAAAAAAAATGTGTTTCCTGTTCGGATTTTCGAAAGAACCAATATGAATTGCGATGAGTGCAAACTTGTGCTGTTGAAGAAGAGAGAAAAGGCTGGCTCAGAAAAATGAGTAAAATCCTACATTTTCGGTGACAAAAAGGCTTTTATACACTCTCATACTCAGTGTAAACCGTTCGATCCCGTTGACTTGATTGTGACCGTCCGATGCAATCTTTTAGATGTTGGACATGTGTATTGTACATTAACACGTGGTAGTGTATGCAGATGTGAATTTATGGGCCTTTCTTTTCTTTTCTTTTTTTTTTTTTTAACTCCAAAACTCAAGTAACATGCCTCTATTTTTGGGCTTATAATAAATGGGTTTTTTTTTGTTCTTTGGGCTGTATAGACATTGCTTTACATCTGTATAATAATGTTTGGGTTTCTATAATACTCATTACATTCAACACTCTTACTTTTAAGTTACATTAGTAAGCACATTCATATTATATATATTTATTTGATTTATGTAAAATATTATTTACATTTATTTGTTCTCATAATAATTTTTAAATAATAAAAATTTCTTATATTGTTTTGTACAGAGAATATAATGAGTGATCATCCCGTCGTGTAAAATAGCGTAAAGCTGGGAGATAGTATTTTGTAGATTCAAGGACATTCACGGTTATCAGATGTCACCAATGGTAATTAAATTTTATAAAATTTCCATTTAGTGTGTGTATATATATGTAATATATGTAATGTTACTTTGTATTATTGGTTCTACTTTATTTCTATTGTAGTGTTTCGACCTACAAATTCGTGTACTCCTGGCAATACTCTATATTCTAACATTTGGAGTAAGAATTATATATTTAAATCTTTTTCAATTAATTGAATACTTATACAACAAAAACTAATTGTTTAGTTGTAAATTACAGGTACTATTCAATCATCCCACAGTCCTATATCAAGATTGAATATTCCACGATATAAAGAACATGTGTCTTCAGAGCATTTAAGATGTAGACGAACGTGATGAGCTAACAACATTTACTGAGTGGATTGCGATCATTGGAGATGGGACTGTAGGAGAATCAAATGACGGTTGTGCCGCGATTCACATTCCAGATGATATACGATTGGATACCTCAGATGATCCAATTGCTACAATCGTCGAAAGTACCTATCCAATGTTCAAAAATGCAACTGACGATCCAAGTTATTTGAAGGACAGAGCTATATTAGCGCCTACTTTGGAGGTCGTTGAGTCTATCAATCAATACATGTCGGATATGAATTCTGCTGAAGGTCGTACATATTTGAGCTCTGACAGTACGTCTAAGTCAGATTCCGACAATGGCTTTTTGGTTGATCTCCACACACCCGAGTTCTTGAATAGCATTAAGTGTTCGGGAACGCCGAACCATGAGTTGCATTTGAAGATAGGAACTCCGGTCATGTTGTTGCGAAACATGGACCATTCTTTGGGTCTGTGTAATGGCACACGTTTGGTTTTTACGAAGCTCTCTTCGCATGTTCTTGAATGTAGGATATTGACTGGAGATCACGCAGGTGAGAAGGTGTTGATTCCTCGGATGAACATAACTCCTTCTAACGTTAGGGTTCCGTTTAAGTTCCAACAGAGATAATTTCCCCTTATGGTTTCCTATGCCATGACCATAAACAAGAGTCAATGTCAGTCTTTATCACATGTTGGACTGCTCTTGAAAAAACCTGTTTTTAGTCATGACCAGTTATACATCGTTGTTTCACGTGTTACTAATAGGAAGGGGTTGAAAATATTAGTTTGCGGGGACGATGAGTTACCCAGTAATCAAACTAATAATGTTGTATATAAGGAGGTTTTCAATAATGTATAACTTTTTACCAATGACGATTTTATGTTTACTTTATGAATATTATACATATTATAATAACTTATTATTTAATGATCTTTTAATTTATTAAAATTTTCTAAAACATGTACTAGCCCGTGCATCGCACGGGTTACATACTAATGATATGTTATAGTGTGTCAATATTTATTTATTTATTTATTTATTTTTTATTATTATTGCGCTCATAAAGATCATTTCACAGAAAATTCGAGACAAACTTGATTGCTTAATTAAGACTTTTTAAATCTTAATAATTTTGTAAGGTTTTTTGATTTAACTATAATTTATAGAAATTTTACGTCTCGATACGTGCGATTATATTCGAGATTTTGTATATATGTTTTGTCTTTAAATCTTTATAAATCACTCAAGTACTTGCGACTTTTCGTATATATGTTTGTCTTTAAATCTTCATAAATAACTTAAGTACTTGCGACTTTTTAAGACCTTGAAATCCCAAATTAAAAATCTTTTAAAAGTTTAGATTAAATAAGTTAATATTCTTAAAATCTCATTGAAATCCCTTCCATAGCTATATATATATAAAAGTGAAGCACCTAAAATTTTCCCGCCTAAAGTATTGTAAATGTATCTCATTAATATTTTGATCAATTTGATATAGTTTGTCTCAAAGTTGTAATGAATATGATTTTTATTAAGTATGAGAGCTA